TCGTACTTGCCCAAATGCTCCGATGCCTAGCACGAGTACTTCCGGTATCAGGAAGCCGGGCAGCGCGTCATTACACGCTGCCCGGTTTCCTGATTGGCCGGGAATCGGCTCCATGCTCTCTCGTCACTTGTGATGAGAGATCATGGAGCCGACTTCCCGGCCAATCGGGAAGCCGGGCAGCGTGTAATGACGCGCTGCCCGGCTTCCTGATTGAACGGGAAGCTGGCTTCATGCTTCCTCGTCTTAGCATGACGAGGGAGCATGGAGCCGGCCTCCCGGACAATCAGAAAGCAGGGTGTCGCGTCATTTACACAGCGCCCAGCTTCCTGATTGGCCGGCCAGACGGCTCTGGCTGGGTACCGGAGGAAGGCCGCGTTCTGGCTGGATAGGCCCGGGGGTGACAGGCTGGACATACCAAGGTAAGAGGGGACTTTCTTGTTAATCGGGAAGCCGGTGGCGAGTCATTACACGCTGCCTGGCTTCCTGAATGGGACTTCCGTTACTCGGTAATTGGTATCGGCGAGTACCGAAAAAAAATTATCGGTACTCGTACTTGGTACCAAAATACCGGTATCGGTGCATCCCTATTGGTTGCTATGGGCAACTGCTCCAGATTCTGTCTGCTCCAATTTTTTTTTTTTTATAAATTCTTTTATTTTTTCGCAACAAAGTTTATGACATTTACATACATTTGAAGGGGAGGGTATACATACAAATCATTTACAGACAAGTGTGGGGGGGACATGAAAAATTACAGGCATTCGGTAATATTGATAACTTCTCAGGTCAACACCAGGAAATTTGTATAGAACCATTGAGCTGTGGGCAAAAATTCCCCAGATTTTATAGGTGAGCGCTCTTATCCCCTCGGGGGAAAGCTCCAACTTTTGACCTTTTAGATGGTCCATTAATGGCTAAGGTATCATATCGTCTACTCAACGAACCATAGATAACCACTACCTGGGGGCGGGTGTTTATTACCTGAAGGAGGGAAATATACTTGAATGCTGAAGGAAAGGAGGGGGGTAAAGAGGGGAGCAAAGATAAGGTACGGTAGAGCATAGGGAAAATCAGAGGTGGAGGGATACCAGAAAGTTGACATCTCTCAAGTTGACATATACGCCTGATATTCATCCGTAGAGGTATATTCGAGCCAGTAGTGCCAGGTAGCATTGAATCTAGAGGAAGTATCTTTGATGTGGCTGGTGAGATCTTCCATGTACCTAAGGTCATTAATTTTGCTGAACCAGAGCTTTACCGAGGGTGGAGCCTCCTGTTTCCACAGCAGAGGTATACAGGCTCGTGCTGCGTTGATCAGGTGAACCATTAATGACCGTCTATATCCCTTGAGCGGATACTGATTATGATGAAGCAGAAAAAAGGCTGGCTCAGCCGGAATCGGATGGTCAGTGAATTTTTGAGAGATAAGTCTTACCTGGGACCAGAAATGCGTCAGTTTCGTGCAGGACCAGAAGACATGTCTCCCACAGTGCCACCACATGTCTGCATGTGGTGTACCGCAGCGCCAGCAAATATCCGGCGAAGCGAGATACATATGGTGTAATCTGCGAGGGGTCCTGTACAACCTCGTCAGTATCTTGTATCCAGATTCTTGGTACTTGTCTGCTCCAATTTTGATAAATCACCACCCCCATATTGGTAGTGGTCCGCATCACAGAGCTAAGTATAAAATGAACTCTACATGCTATATAAGAAAAATTTTATATTGAGCCCTGGTCCACTGTCCTTGTACCCCTCCCTCAACAGTGTCTGATGTTACACAATAATTGTCACCAGGCCCGCCTTCAGGAAAAAACTAAAAATGTGTAACATAAACGTAAGCGAATGCAAAATATACATGGTGGTCATTATGAGGAAAGGCTACCCTGATGCTTGTGTCAGTGGCAGGAAATGTATTGGGAGCTTTGAATGAAAAAGTGCTAGGGGCTCTGAATGATGCTGGGTCTCACTGTTTTGAAATTAGAAAGCTCTGCAGCAGACTTGGTGGCCCTATGGGGATGAGAGCTTTGAAGGGGGCTGGGGGCAACTGTGGGATTTGGGGTCGCTGGAGGGGACTGGGGATTTTGTGGTGGCACTGTGGGAGACTCAAGGGCACTGAAGGAATTTGGGGGGCACTATGGGGGCTATAGGCTCTGCAGCAGATTGGAGGAAATCACTTTAGGATGTTGGGGGCACTGTGGAGGCTAGGAGCTCTCAGGGTCTTCTTCCAGGTCAGTGGCTCAAAGTATTAAAGCAAGTAGATCAGCATGACAGTCAGGAAATTGATATTTTCAGGAGTGGCCATGCTTCTTTCATGAAGGGATTGCACAATGCAGATCTAGTATGAGTGACATCTCTTTGTGGTGAAAGGTCTAGTAAGGGCC